AACAGTGGGAGGGCTTCTAGTGTCCTGTCCCCACTGCTGGACCTCCTGATGGCACCTGGTATTTCTGGCCACTGTGTGACGCAGAGTGTTGGACTGGATGGGCCATTGGCCTGATGCAACATTGGCTTCTCTTATGTTCTTCTATGGAGCAGAGGTCCATCAGTGGCTATCAGCCACAAGGTCTAGATAGGAACTCTCGGTCTGGGGCAGGTGATGCTCTGTATTCTTGGTGCTTGGGGGGGGGCAACAGTGGGAGGGCTCCTGGTGTCCTGTCCCCACTGCTGGACCTCCTGATAGCACCTGGTATTTCTGGCTACTGTGTGACGGAGAGTGTTGGACTCAATGGGCCACTGGCCTGATCCAGCATGGGCGTCTCTGATGTTGTTATGTAAAGTGGGCAGGTGCAGCCACTAAGCAGCAATGCAGCTACAGAGTGTGACTCAATTTAGCAGGAGACTCTCTCAGGGTTGGTGGTGGCAGCTGGTGGAGAGTGGTTTGTTTCTGGCACGTGCACCACTCGCACACACACGCACGCACCCCGGAGTGAAGGGGGGCATGGGATGTCCGCAGGGGGGTTCCAACCTCCTGGGGACCAGCCAGAAGGCAGAGGGAAAGGCTTAGCCCAGTGGTGGTGAACCTATGGCACGGGTGCCCGAGGTGGCACTCAGAGCCCTCTCTGTGGGCACGCGTGCCATCGCCCCAGCCAGGCCTAGACCATCATTAAAGTGTCGAATTCTCTGCCAAATAATTTCAAGTCAATGAAAGCATATGGGATTGCTTTCCTTACTTTGTTTGGATCATCTTAAGTTAATGTATGAGTTGTTTTTTCTAAAGTAAAACCTCAGTATTCAGGTTAAATTGCTGTGTTGGCACTTTGCGATAAATAAGTGGGTTTGGGGTTGTAGTTTGGGCACTCGGTCTCTAAAAGGTTCGCCATCACTGGCTTAGCCCATTCCATCACATTCTGCACCACAAGTCAGTCTTCTTGGCCCGCTCAGACTGGGAGCAGCACACGTGCAACACCTCCACCCCCTTCCACGGCCCAGTCAGGATCTCGTCCGTGGCTGCCCACGGCACCCTGGAGGCAGCCTGCTCCGACCAGCCGCCAGCGGTACCTTCAAGTCTCTGTAGACCACAAAGCGGTGGTGCATGTGCTCCAGGCCGAGGATGATCTCAGTGGCGTAAAAACGCATCTCCTTCTCCGAAAACACCCCGTGCTGGGAGAGGTGGTAGTGAAGATCACCCCCTAGGAGCAAAGAGGGAGAGGCCAGAGCTCAGCACGTGCCCTTTGCCCGCAGGAAGTCCCTCCTGGGGGAGTCAGTCCCCAGGGAAGAAGCCCCCTAGCCAGCAGCAGCAAAGGGAGTCCCGGGACTGCCTCCCCCAGGAGGCTGCATGGGCCAACAGTTTGACTCTTCACGTGCTCAAGAGCCAGAAGAGGAGAACGATCCTTCCGGAGTACACACATCAACTTCCCTCCTGCCCCCCGTCCCCAGCGCCCCAACAGATCGTTCAGCCATGCGGCTTACTGCATCCCCCCCCCCCGCTCTAGACAACAGCAATGGTAACAATTATGCATTCAATGGACTTTGGTTTGGTGTCGTGGTTAAGTGCGCGGACACTAATCTGGGAGAACCGGGGTTTGATTCCCCACGCCTCCTCCGCGTGCAGCTGCTGGATGACCTTGGGCAAGCCACAGTTCTCTCAGAGCTGTCCTTGAAAGAGCAGTTCCTGTCAGAGCTCTCTCAGCCCCACCTGCCTCACAGGGTGTCCTGTTGTGGGGAGGGGAAGGGAAAGGAGTTTGTCAGCCACTCCGAGACTCCGAGTGAAGGGCGGGGTATAAATCGAGTGAAGGGCAGGGTATAAATCCAACCTCTTCTTTTTTGTCTGCATTATCTTAGCCCTAGAAGGCAGGGCAGCACGATCGTCTCTCTGTTGCTGAGACAGAGAGAGGCCAGCTGGCCTCCGGCTGCCGAGGGAAGTTGAGGGGAGTCACCACATTACCTCCGCTGCTTCCTAGGTCTTTTGCTCAACAGAGCAAGAGCCGAGGCCTTACAAAAACTGGCTGGCTACTCAAACACGGAACCCTAAGTTCTGCGGCCAGACTCCTTTCCACAGCGCTGACAGACCACTCCCCCTTGACCCATGTGGACCTCCTGGGAATCAAGATCTGCTCTGTGAAGCGACGTTCCCTGACGGGAGGAAGGCAGGCCCCTGGCTCAGGGGCCACCGGAAGCTCATTTGGCTCCTTTTCCACACTTGCTCATTTCGGACGGCTTTTGACGGTCGGCGACCTGCTACTCTGCATTTGCTGCTACTTTGATTTTTCTTGCACTGCCTTCTGACATTTAATTTACAGGATGGTTTAACTTCTTTTATCTGTTGCAGATTTTCCGGGTTGTGTGGCCAGAGTCTTGGCATTGTAGGACCTGACGTTTCACCAGTAGCTGTGACGGGCATCCTCAGAGGGATGACACAGAAAGACGGAGTACTCTCTGTGTCAAGGTGAGAAGAAAAAAAATGGTAGGCAGGTAATTTACATCTACTCAGGAAGGTGGGGTAGGGCTGAGTCATTCTCTTGTAGGAGTTCCCCAGGCTGTGAACATGCTAATGGAGGAGCTTTCCTGAGGAGGTTCTTTTGTACATGGATTGTTTCCTGAGGAGGTTTCCTGTTTCCTGAGGAGGAAAGCTCCTCAGGAAAGCTCCTCCATTAGCATGTTCACAGACTGGGGAACTCCTGCAAGAGAATGACTCAGCCCTACCCCACCTTCCTGAGTAGATGTAAATTACCTTTCTTCTTACCTTGACACAGAGAGTACTCCCTCTTTCTGTGGTATCTGAGGATACCAGTCACAGGGTTAGGGTTACAGTCACAGCTACCAGCAAAACGTCAAGTCCTACAATGCTAAGACCATGGCCACACAACCCAGAAATTCTACAACAGCTAATGAACTCTGGCTGTGACAGCCTTCGACCACGTATTAACTTATTTTGTTGCAATACGGTTATACAATTGCGAGCTGACCCAGGCACTCTGCTAAACGGAGGAAGGGTAGGCCCGAGTCTCCTCAACAGTCTAAACGTGGGCAGCCCCGCAGGATTCATCCTGCGGCCGCTTTGTCTGGGAGCCATCTGGGGCGCTGAATCCCCACACCCCCTCTTAAAAACCACCCTGAGCCCCAGTCTGGCCTTTCAAGGTTCCCCAGATGCTGCAGAGCCAGAAGTCTATGCTGTGTTGTTTTAATTAGTTAAAAAAAAAGACAGCGCCAGCTAATTGTCCCGCAATGCTAGAACGAGCAATTAGATCACAGCCGCTGAATAACCACAGGCAGTCGGCTCTGCAGACGGCTCAGATCCAAAGGCAGCACACCCACGCCAGCCAAAAATCCACCAGCCACCAGGCACATCTTCCGCTTTGGGGGCTGAATCCGAAATCTTGTGGCGTGAGGCCAGGATCTTGCCCGGGAGCGAGCATGCTCAGGCTTCAGCACCTCTCCAGGCAGCATCAGCTCCTGCCATTGGCCAAGCCTGGGACCAATTATCAGAGCCTGGTTCCCCACTAGGGGTGTGCATTCAGATATAGCCGAACCGAAAAAATACCCGAAAAATACCTTGTTGGTAGTTTTCGGATATCACATAAGCTGAATACAGATCAGAGATCTGTATTCAGCTACTGGTACAGCTGAACCCCAAAAAGCTGTAATTATCCGGCTTTTTTTCGGGTTCATTTTGGTATACCGAAAAACCTAACACCCTGAGCCGTCAGTCAGCTGTTGGGTTTAAATGCCTTTCTTTCCCTCCCCGATGTGGGGGAGGGAAAGAAAGGCATTTTAAACATGCGGGGCACCTGGAGAAGATCGGGCAGGGAACTCAGGCATGTTCGCATGCCTGCCCCTTTTCCTTCCTTGAGCCTCTCCACTTTTGCAGAGAAGCATGGGGAAGTGGGGAAGTAAGAGGCATTGTAAACATGCCTGCCCTCATCTCCCCAGCCTGCCCTAAGGGTGTGCATTTGGCTTATAGCCAAACCAAAAAAGTATCACATAACCTGAATATCACATAAGCTGAGGGAAAGAAAGGCATTTTAAACATGCCTAGATTCCCTGCCTGCCCTTCCAGCTACAATCTGTCAGCTGGAGAAAAAAAGCAGAGGGCCAAGGCTTCTCCTAGTCAATTTCACTCCCAGCTGAGGGGTGGGGAGTGAAATTGACAGGGAAATCTCTATGGGCTACAAGAGGCAAAGAAGGCATTTTAACATGCCTCCTTTCCCTCTGTTGGTGTAAATCGGACCCGAATATATTTGAGAACACCGAATATAGCCCCAATCCGAATACCTTACTGGTATTTTACTGGGGAAATTTGGCATTTACCCATATTTTTTGGGTCTGATTTACCTGAAGCTGAAAAATACCGGCTTTTTTTTTTTTTGGCGCACCCCCTACTCCCCACCCTTGCCAGTCGGAGGAGTGGCACCTTCTGCCCTGCCAGCCCGGCAGTTCACCTCAAAACGAAAAACCAGCTACGAGCCTCACCCTGGCTCCCTCCCTTCATTTGCATCACCTGAGTTCCTCACACTTTCTTTCAAAGTGGGGGGGGAGTTCCTTTCTTCCTCCCCGGCTCCTCCCTCCCCATAAACTGTCCCAGACTCCACAAAAGACCCCACGGCTCCCACGGGGGGGGGCAAAGTTGGCTCCAGCCTACGTATTTTCCAGCATAACCTCTTTGAAAGGGGGGGGGCATGCAGTCCTTTTTGCAGTCCCACCCACCCCCCTTCCCAAATCCTCTCTTACCATTCATCAAGTCCAGAATGAAGCACAGCTTGTCGGGGGTGTGGAAAGCGTAAGTCATGCACACGATAAAAGGACAGTCCTGGAGGGGGGGGGAGACAAAGGAAAAGAGTTCTCTCCACACAGCATTCAGAAGCAGCTGCCCAAGCCCCCCCCACACACACACTCCCCAAGGCCATCCCTATAACAGACACAGCTGCCCATCTGATTGCAAAACCAGAAACACCTCGTGGGTTCCACTTGGCAGAATAAATGAGGCACACAGGTCAGGATTCCTCCTTTGCCTGTGAAGGCTCTTGTGCAGTTCACCTGTCACCCCCAAGCCCAGGTAGCACACCTCCTGACCAGTGTCCCCTCTAAGCTGAGTTCGTGTGAGCTAGCTCACAGTTTTTTAGCCTCCGGCTCACAGATTTTTGCCTTAGCCCAGGAAGGGACGGCTCCAGAGCAAACTAATTGATGCAGTGGCCAAATTGCTTGCTCACAACTTTAGTGCCAGTAGCTCACATAGCAGAATTTTTGCTCACAAGGTTCCACGGCTTAGAGGGAGCATTGCCCCTGACTGCCCCAAATTCACCCCTACTCAACAAGTGATTCCATGAAGAGGAGGCAGAGGTCCCCGTTCTGGCACTTGCCCACTAGCCACTCCCGCCTTTGCCTCTCTGCGGGCAACCGGGAGGCTTCATGACGCCCGTCTGGGAGCCAGATCCACAGGGGAAGAGAGGCAGAGCCCCGGAGGTCCTCACAGTGCTGGAACTGGACAGAACAAGCAGCCGAGACAGCCAGACTCCAACCCCGGCCCGGCCGGCCGTCGTTAGGATGGGTGAAACGCCGGCTCTCTCCCAGCCCGGGCATCTGGAAAGCGCTGTGAGGCGCTCGGAGGGGAGACAGGCAGGCTCAGCCCCCTACCCTGCCTCCCATTCCACAGGGCCTGCAAGATGGAGCTGTTCTGCCAGGCCTTCGACTAGGAGCTGCGGGGGGGGGGATCCTGCCCCCTGGGATTTTCAAAGCAGCCTGAGCCAGCCCCACAATATGAGACCTGGGACCACCAGAAAGGCACTGAAGTTTGAACACCATCCTAAATGTGACGCTAAATTGCCATCTGTTTAATGACACCTGGATGATTATTGGTTAGCACCTTTTAATGTTGTAATTGTTTTATAGTTTTATGAACACCGTATTATTTATTGTTGTTTTTAGTTGTCTGTAAGCCGCCCTGAGCCGGCCATGGCTGGGAAGGCAGGGTTAAAGTTTGATAGATAAATAAATAATAATATAATTTATTTATTTGCCAGGAAGGCGTGGGACACAAAAAATACCACTTTCCAGTCTAACTGACACCCCTCCCAAGAAGATTGTAAGGATAAAGCCAGGTGCAGGCTAGAGATGTGAAGGCCTGGGGAAGAAACGGGGGGGAAACGGAAAAAATTGGGGGGGAAACTTTTTTTCCCTGAAGCCTTTTTTGTTTTGTTCTGAAAAATTGGAAAAATTGAAAAAAAGAAAAGAAAAAAATTGATTATGGAACGTTTTATTTTAACATGATGAATAAAATATTTTAAGACAAGGTGTTCAAATATTTTCCAAATCATTTCTAAAAAATACGTATGGTATCAGATGGATCTAATTTCTGTGCACTGAGGACAAGCAAGTCCTAGGTTACAAACTGAACTCTCCAATGCAAGAACAAGATGCATTTCTTCCTTTAGGAGGTGCTATTGTCACAAGAAAAGAAAAAGGTTTCAGTTTTGTGTTTTCATGTGGTTGGGTATTCTGTTTGTAATAATTGTTTGGATACACCATATTTTTAATATGCTAGTTGTGATAATTTCATGCCAAGTAAAAATGTCCATAGTCATATTTTATGTTCCTAAAGTAACAGAATGACTTTCAATCTGGAAAAGAAAAAAAAAGTGCTAATGCAGCATTTTTTCAATTTTTCCGGAAATTTCCGTTTCCCTCCGGAAAAAAACTGTAAAAAACCCTGGGTTTTTTTCCGAGCTTCAAAATTTCCGGAAATTTTACATCTCTAGCGCAGGCAGAGATGATGAACCCCAGCAAGAGGATGGAAATCTAAAGAAAAGGCACCCACCCACCCCCGGTGTTCCTCTACCCGCTGGCAGACAAGCTGGGGATCTGGCCTGGCTGGGTTGGCACCCCCCCCCCTTGGGCACAGAACTCCTCCAGGCGAGGGGCAGGGGGGCTCGTACATGTTGACAACAACAGGGCTTCATCCCCACCCCACCCTAGAAGGTATCATCTTCGGAGGATCGAGAATCTCTTGTAGATTTACAGACCTCTCGCTCCCAACTCTGACACGGCCCTTGCTTCCCCCAAAGCAGCCACACCTCTTGAGACACCCCTGCAGAGCAGCTGGAATATCCAGGGCAAGCGAGGCTGCTCACCCATTGCCCCCCCCCCGAGACCCCTGAGCACAAGAGGAGCTTCCCACCCCACGTATAATCTCGTCCTCTACTACGGCAAATCACTTCTCTCACAGAGGGGACCTGGAAATCCTTATTTTGTGGAGGGTCTGTAAAGGCCGGCCAGGAAACCCAGGGCGGAAATAGCTTGGGAAGCCGGGCTTTGCAGGTCAAACCCAAACGGAGCAAAAGCCCGGTTCTCAGGCTGCCAGCGGGAGCGGTCTCACTGGCCCTGGCCCCCCTTGCCTCCTCGGAAGCCAAAAGCCCCTTCATGTTCCCTCTGCATCCCGGCAGGAGCACGTCTCTGCAGAACGGGAACGGGGACCGTCTTCGGGAGCACAAAGGCACCTTCACGCCAACATCCCACGTCTCCATGGAAATGAGAGCGGCTTTCGGCTTTACGTCAGGAGGCTGCTCTGGAGACCCCCGCCACTTCACCGCCTCCCCCCTAATCTGCCCAGGTGGACACGTTGGGCCAAGGGGGGGGGGACACACACACTCTCAACATACCGGTCCCACTTTGTCACGTGGGGGAGGGGGCCCTCAGCACAGGCAAGGAAGCTGCCAGGAGCAGCCCAGAGAACTCCGTCCCTCGGCAGCCATCGCTCCCAGAGCAGTTCTCACCGGGGCTCTGAGCAACAACGGCTGCTACTGAGGCCTCCTCCAGCCAGGCGGCTAAGCTTGTGCTTAGAAATCACACCTTGTTCATGAACAACACCGGCTTTCAGGCAGACTCCAGAGATTACAGGAGAATATCTGTAGTGGGCTGAAAACGCTTCATCATGAGTGTTAACTGCAACAGACACACACACACACACACACACAGCAGAGAGGCGCTGAAATCCAGAGCTGAAATGCTTGCGAAGCCCGGCTGGCTTCAGCCTTATAACGAAACAATGAATTGAATACAACCTCATTCATGTATATAAACATAGAATACAATTCCACACATTGCTACAGGCTTCATTTTAAAAAAATTTAAATGTCTATCTTCTGCTTCTCTCCCTGCTGGAGACCCAAAGCAGCTGGGGGGGGGGGTGAGCCATAAATATAATTAGACAAACCACCAGCAACAAAGCAGAGTAATGTAAAGCTCTCTCTATAGACTCAAGGGGCCACTGCCTTCATCCTGCCTCCGCAACCACACTCCAAGGTAGGCTGGGCTGGGATGAACACTTTGGGATAACCTGTTTCATTCATTCATTCATAGAATCATAGAATGTTAGAAGTTGGAAGGGACCTTGCAGGTCATCTAGTCCAACCCCCTGCAGTCTGCAGGAGCACAGCCGAAAGACAGCCCTACAACATACCCGAAAGATGGTCGTCCAGCCTCCGCTTGGAAACATCCAGCGAAGGAGCATCCACCACCTCCCGAGGCAGTCTGTCCCACTGCTCAACCACTCTGACAGTTAGGAAGTTTCTCCTGATATTTAGCCGGTATCGAGTCCCTTGTCATTTCCACCCATTAGAGCAAGAGAGAATAGATCTGCTCCATCTTCTACATGACGGCCCTTCAAATACCTGAAGACTGCAATCATGTCCCCTCTAAGCCTTCTCTTTCCCAGGCTAAACAGACCCAACTCTCCCAGCCTTTCCTCGTAAGACTTGGATTCCAACCCTCTCACCATCCTGGTTGCCCTCTTCTGGACACGCTCGAATTCATTCATTCATAGATCTTTATTGGCATATCATCAGAAGGTATATAAAACATTGTACCGTCAAATTAAATCTAAAATTCCATATAAATTTAGTACAATCAAAATAGTACTATCTAAAATTTTGTATCCTGAGAACTTCTGTAAAAAACTTGGCAACATCATTAGTGATCTCAGGGATCGACTCTTTCTTAGACAAATAATGGGTGTCCCCATATGCATGCCTTACCTTACAATCTGCTCTGAAGTTGGCCAAAATTTGATTGAGACCAAGGCCTGGATCTCAACGACACGCTACTGGCTCAGGATCCACTTTAGAGCTGAGCCGGGTTCACTTTTATCGTTTTTGCAAAAAGAACTGCATAATTCCTCCTGGGCTTCCATAATTATATCCAAATTAAGTCAACTTGGTGTTCCTCTTGAAGACCTAGCCCTAACCAATGAACCTCATATTTTTAAACTAATCAAACAATGACTCTTAGATATTGATCTGCCAAAGTTACACCATACCCAACCGCATATCTGTTCACCTGCCATGCTCGGCCTTTCCAACCATTTAGGCAAGATCCCCCGATATTTTTACAATCTCGACATCCCTCTTCATCGCAGAGCTTTTCTTCTGGCCAGGGTTAACGCATTTCCCTCTAGAACACTCTACGGCAGAGACCATCAAATCCCAAGACAAGAGCGGCTGTGCCCCTGTGGTCTTAACTCCCTGGACACGATTGAGCACATAATTGTCGAATGCCCCCTGGATGAGCTACCTCGCGGAAAATTCCTTCTAACTTGGCTTCCTCTTAAAAGTTATTTGAGTAACAAGTCAAAATGTCAACTTCTCTTGAATGATAACCTGTTACGTGAATACCCGACAAGGGATGTGTGCAAAATGTCAGCTGTGCTCCGCAATTATTTCTGGCTCTTTCAACTGCCATCCGCCACACAGGAGAGCATTCACACAACCACAGCGAGGCGTCGCCGGCATCCCTCACCCTGAGGCGGGAGGTCCCTGCTTGTTTCAAATTTTACCAGTTCACAAGCCAAAAGCAAAACAGGAGAACTGTGTCCACCGGGGTGCGGGGGAAGCCACGGAATACTCACGCCAGTACTGACGAGGGAGAGCATGATCCTTTCATTCAAGGCCAGCGTTTCTCCTTGCTTCATCTTTATCCTCTTCTTATCTAAGCACTTCATCGCATACCTGGGAAAAATGGGTTGACTGAGGAAGCGGGTTTCGTAGAGGTTCCCCGCAAACCCACCCCAAATTTGCACCGTTGCATCTGAGGGCTGCAGGCTAGGAAGCGGGCGGCTCCCTGGAGGTCCAGCCAGGGCTCCCAAAGTCGACCCCGGTTCAGCCCGTGACAGGCAACAAATGGCTCAGAGTGACCAGCCGGGCCAGATGGAACTCTACTGGCTCCTCGGGTCACCTGACCTCTCCTGGGATGAAAGGTGCAGGACGCCCCCTGGCCACCTGCCGCGAGGGCCCTACGGAGCCGCAGAGGCCAGGCCTCCAGAGCTCTCATGGTCTGCACGGTGCCCCAGAGATGAAAGGAGAGGCCAGTCCTCCAGAGACGGGGCACAGGCCGGCATGCGAGCACTGCGGCAGTGGCGGTGAGACAAGGGGGGGGCGGGTTCAGCTCTGACTTCAGTCACGGGCTTGGGAGGGGGGGCCTGAGGCACCTCTTGCAGCCCCCGCTCCCCCCCCCCGAGGGCTCATCAGACACAGCTCCACTGACAGCGGCACTGAACGTGAAGGACCACGAAACGCGCCACGCCAGCACTGAGGACGGTCGCCCACTAGAAGTGAGCGCAGCAGGCGAAAAGCAAGGAAGGGCCACGAGCACACAAGTGCCACTGAGACCGGAAGGTGGCCCGGAGGGCTCCTGGCCCCAGGGCAGGTTTGTTAACCTCACTGAGACAATGAGCAGGGCCCGTGTATCTGCCACGGAAGCGCATCCCTCTTGGCGGGGAGAAGAGACACGGGAGCCTTCCAAGGCTGTGGAGCAGAGCTAGAGCCGGG